AAAAAATTAGAACAAATAGTACAACGCTTCACGACTGAACTGAATACCGTGGTAGCACAAATAAATTTAAGATTTTCTTCCCTAATGAATACCATGGAATCCACCCTAAAAAAAGTTGCATCCAATATAACAATTCAAAAAGAAGATGATTGTCTAATAAATAGAAAACAGAATGAAAAAGCAAAAAGATTCAAGAAAATATCAGAACAGAGAGGAAACACATTAGATAGTGTAGTAGAAAAAAATAAAGGAACTTAAATAAATAATCAAATTTTCTTATATTCTCGCTAAAAACTCAATATTAATCTTTCTTTTTTCGAATTTTTAAACTAATTCGTAGTATCGCACCTTTTTTTCCGTTTTAAATCATGAACATAATCCAATGGAATGCACGTGGTATTAAAAACAAGAGGCCTGATATTCTTTTCGCTCCAATTTTTCAAAAAGCAAGTATTTTAATAATTCAAGAAACCTGGTTACATCCAAATGATATTTTCACAATTCCCAATAAGAATATATTCAGAATTGATAGAGAAATCAAAAGAGGAGGAGGGTTAATGATAGTTTTAAATAAAGATATTAGCGCAATAAAAAAATATTCTCAGAAATTAGTGAAGACTTAGAAATTTTAATAGTCCGAGTTCAAATAGATTTAGTTCCTATCACAATTTTTAATATATACATCCCACCGGGTAACTTTAAAGATATCAATTTATCTAAAATAGCATCATATATTGATAATCACAGTTTGATATTGGGAGAGAGAGAGAAATTTCAACGTATCTCATGAGATATGGGGATCAAAAAATTCCAGTGCTTCTGGAAAAAAGATTTTTGACTGGATCATTGAAAATGACTTAATATTATTAAACGATAAAAGTCCCAACTTATCTCCATTCATCGGGAATTTTTACATCTATAGATCTTTCTTTAGCATCTATAGATTTGAATTATGATTTATCCTGGTCCACAAATACCGATAATTTTGGAAGTGACCACTTCCCTATAATTATTAATTACAAAAGAGCAAACAGCTCAGTAACTAATGATTGTAAACAAAAAACAAATTGGATCAAATTTATCCATATTATTCAACAAAATGTAAATTTAAATGAAAACATAAATATAGATATTATAAAAGAAATTAAAAAAGCTCAAATCTTATCTCAAGAAACCGAAAAAAAAACAGATCAGTTCAAGAGCTCCATGGTGGACAGCAGCATGCGGGCATTTAAGAGCCAAAAAAAGAAAACTCCTTAATAAAGCAAGGAAAAACTTTAAAGAAGACTGGATAAAATATAAAGAAGTAAGCGCAAAACTTAAGCGAACAATCAAAGCCTGTAAAGAAAATTTTTGGCACAAGACATGCGAAAAAATATCTTCTCCTAAAGTTCTTTTTAAAATAATCCGAATAATCAAAAATAGAACAAATCCTAACTATTCTTCCTTTAATATTATTGAAAATAACGGAACCACATTAACAAACGAACAATCACAAGCATAAACTGTTTTTTACAATATTACGCAAAACAAAACAACGATAATATTCCAAATATTTCTATTCCGGACAATAGCCAGGATATTAATAAAAAATTTTCTTTAAAAGAATTAGAAATAGCAATATCTCATCAAAAGAACAGCAGTCCAGGGCATGATAAAATTTCTCTCCAATCAATAAACCATCTCCCCATCAAAGCAATAAATCTCCTTCTGAAATAATTTAATGACAGTTGGTCTTCAAGTCAAATTCCTAAAGACTGAACTCACGCAATTATCCTGCCTTTCATAAAACCTCACAAAAATCCCAAGGAAGTTTCGTCATACCGTCCTATTTCTCTTACCTCAGTAATTGCCAAATTATTAGAAAGAATGATTCTACATAGAATGTTAGATTTCAGTTTTCAAAACAAAATTTTTCATGTTAATCATCATGGTTTTTACCCTCACAGAAGCAGCATTAATACATTACTTCAATTACAACATAACATCATACTGGCTAGAGAACGCAAAGAATATTTTATTTTGGTAGCGTTGGATATTAAAGCAGCATATGACTCAGTGTGGCCAAATGGCCTTATTTCTAAACTAAACAAAGTTGGATACTCTGGTAGATTACTACGATGGATTCAAAACTTCTTACATCAGAGAACAATTCAAATCAAATGGAGAAACATTTTTTCAAAAACCGTTACAAACAATTATGGTGTACCCCAGGGTTGTATCTTAAGTCCTTTCCTTTTTATGATTTATGTCAGATATTTTTGAAATTCTACGCGACAGCCATCTTCTGGTTTATGCTGACGACATATTTTTATATAATAGTGGTACAAATTGGAATAAAACAATAGGCGAAATGCAAGAATCTTTAAATAAAATTTCAGTCTGGTGTAAAAAATGGAAATTATCCACCTCTCCAGAAAAAAGCAGTCTAATCAACTTTTCCAGAAAAAGAAGCACAATACCTCCATTACTTAAAATATGCGACAAACCTATTCCCGAAGTGAAGAGTCTGAAAATACTGGGTATCATCTTCGACCCCAATATCACCTGGAAAAATCACATTAACTACCTACGTCAAAAAGGATTTAAACATTTAAATGCCATTAAAGCCTTATCTTCTCCGAAAATAGGAACAAGATCTGATCATCTTTTAAATATTATTAATGCCACAATCCGTTCTATCTTTGACTATGGAAGTCAACTATTTTCCTTTTCTAGCAATAGCAACAGACAGAAACTAGAACCGATTTACAATGCTGCCTTACGTTTAGCCCTAGGTCTCCCAAGAAATACCCCGTTGGATTTATTAAGAGCAGAGTCTATGAACGGAAGTATTAATACTCGCCATAATTTTCTTTGCCAAAAATTTATAACCAAGTAAATAGCATTAAAAGACTGGTCACCGAACGCAAGGTTATTTTGGAATATAAATAGTATTTTTTATAAATATAGAGAAAAGAGATCAGTATTTTTCAAAAGACGATCAACCTGCTCCAAGAATTATGCATCTCTAAGTAGATATTCTTCAATGGATCCCTCCTCCCCCAATCTACGATAATCGCAAAATAAACATCTATACTCATGAACTACCATTTCAAAACAAGGATCTTCCAGATGACATAGTACAAAATATGTTTAATGATTACATTCAGCCAAAATTTAATAACAATATCATAATAGCAACCGATGGTTCAAAAAATACTAATCAAACATCAATAGGAATTTTGATCCTTAAGAAAAAAATTCGACAAAATTTCATACTGAAAGAAATGATTTCAATATTCACAGCTGAAGCTATAGCCATATGGACTGCGTTAAAAAATTGGGTTTTTGAAACAGAAAATTGTATCATCTTGACGGACGGCTTATCAGTCCTAAAAAGCATCCAAAATATTAATAGAAAATCCAATACGATAATATTAAATTTAAGTTCAACTTTACATCAGTGCCTCCAAATAGCTCAATCAATTACATTCATTTGGGTACTAGCTCACAAGGGAATAGGGATTAAAATGAAGAAGTTGATAAATTAGCTAAAGCCTCTCCAGAGCCGTGGAATATTATGTCTTGGATAACTTATGAAGATCTACATACATATTTTAAAAAACAACACAAAATCAAAAGTGAAGAAATATGGAAAAAGAGCAAGAGACAAATTTTTTTTTTATATATTTCCTCATCTTCAAAAATGGAACAGACAGGCAGCAAAAAATAGAAATACAGAAGTTTTAATCAATAAGTTGCAAGCTAAAAAATTACCATTAAATGATATATATTTCCTTTTTAAACTAACAGATTCTCCTTTGTGTGCAGATTGTAAAGTACCAGAAACTAGTGAACATTTTATATTAAACTGTATCATACAAATCGCAGCGTAAAATTTTGAAAATTTTTATCTCCAACCACGGAGAATGGTCTTATTCCTCAATAGCGAAATGTAAAACAATAGAGCATGTTCAAAAAGTTGAAAAATTTCTGACATCATCCAATAGATTCTAAAATTCCAGTTACTCTATACTCTACTTTCATCAATCTCAGTTGAAGCACAACGCGATAATTCAAATTACTGATAGACTGCAATCACGAACTGTATGTTATAACTTGGATTAGAAACTGATCAAAATTTTATCGGAGCATAAGGCGTTAGCCAAGTCTCCACTTTTTCAGTGTTTTCACTGAATTGAACTGAACTGAACTGAACTTGCCTCATTCCCGTACTCTGACCAACCACAAAAGTCTTTACTGGAAATCAAATGATTTTAAAAGCTTCCGGTTGACTTATAGTATGAAAAACTGAGTTCCCCAGAGCGAAGAAAGAATGCTTTTGTGAAATTTATTAGATGTCGCGTGTGGTTCTCTGAGTGTATTTGTGTTGTTTTATTAGATGTCGCGTGTGGTTCTCTGAGTGTATTTGTGTTGTTTTATTAGATGTCGCGTGTGGTTCTCTGAGTGTATTTGTGTTGTTTTATTAGATGTCGCGTCGTGTGTGTTGTTTTATTAGATGTCGCGTGTGGTTCTCTGAGTGTATTTGTGTTGTGTTTCGTCGCTGCTCGTTTTATGTTTGTGCGAAATAAATGTGGATATTTAAATTACAAGATGTTTGTTCCTCAGTCGTTCAACGACTTCAAACAAAGTATCCTCTCTGTTCAAAAATGTTTTATAATAATGCACGTCCTCTTAAAATATTTTCTTTCAATTCCTACTATCAGTTCACTTTCTCCCTTATATATATATATATATATATATATATATATATATATATATATATATATATATATATATATATATATATATATCTTCAAATTTTCAATCGTTAATAAAATACTTTCTATTCATCCATTCAAGTTCGAATACATTACTTTAAACTTGTAGTGGATGACACTTAATGTTAATAGAGCTTTTTCAAATATTAATTCATGAATTAAATTAAAAATGAATAAAAAGTAACAAGCAAAAATAATAGTCCAACAGCATACATAGAAAAGAAAATCGTTCGTTGCGTCCCTGTAGCTCAATGGATAGCGCGTTGGTACTTCTAATCCAAAGGTCGTGGGTTCGAATCCCACTAAGGATGGCCTAATTTCTGAGAATGTGATTTCCTTTCTTCACTATAGTATTTTATTAGAGTAATTAAATTTATTTGATGAATAAATAGTAACAAACACACAAAAAATAGTCCAACACTACAGATAGAAAGAAAAGGGAAAATTCCAAGTAAAATCGCTTTTTTTTGTTACTTAATTCTGTGATTCTGTCATATGTATATACATATTTATATTAATTGTAACTATTTTAAAAAGAGTTACTAAAATAAAATTTTCCTTTGTTGACCTAAGTAGGAATTGACTTACATTTTTTTTATATAACTTGTACGTAGAAAACACACACGAATTACTAAACATTACATGTAATCTGATACCTTGAGTAAATTCTAATATCTGATAAATGTTATAGACAGTGGAAAAGTTTTGAGAAGAATTGCATCTACTTTTTTAAAGAAATCACATTGAATTTCTGAATCACACTTAATTAGAAAATTATTTTCTCAAAAACAATGAAATATGATACAGTCAGTGGCGCACACAGGAATTTTTCAAGGGGGGTCCGGGGTCGAAAGTTCACTATTCTTGTATCATGCTCCTTTAGATTTTGTCGATTTTCGGGAACAAAACACTGTAAAAAACTAGTTTTTTGTTACACTTATTGGTAAACTAATTTAAATTTTGCAACGCTAGCAGTGAAATTTGTGTCGAGGAGGCATGAAGACGAAAAACAGTTTCTTAAAATTGGCCTTTAATAATCAATCATAAAGTCACTTTGCTCGTTACTGGAGCGATAAAAAAAACAATAAGTTCAAAAAGCAACATTACCAGAGACATCCGATTCGAACCGTCTTCTAATATTGTAAAATTAATTTCTAATCTAAAATGGTGATGCAACCTGCAGTTGCATTGCCAACCAGTTGTTCTCTCCCTCTAAGAGTTAAACCACTCACACACTTCTTATATTTCCGTTTCTCCTTCCTTTCTGAAAAACTAACATGAGCCGAGTTTAAATACTCGCTCGATTTGCATGGTAGTTGCTGCCAACCACAAATCACGAAACTCAAAAAGATCGGGTTCGAATCGGTGTGCTTACTTTCATTGAGATCATGGAACGGGATTGGAAAAACAACACAAGCAGATCATAAAAATTTGGATCCGACTTTTTAAATGTCTAACAATCGGCCCCCTTTTTCCAATCTCGCACCATTATCTCTTACAAATCAGTAAAATTTTAATCTATAATCACATGTTATACGATTTAACACAAAAATACATTTTATTCACAATCTTTATTGTAATAAACAAACTAATATTTTAATCTTAAAGAAACAAAGTCTTATTCTCTAAAAAGAAATAATTTTCTACAAAATTCTAACAATTTTTCCTTTACCATGGGTTTGGTAAAAATGTCCGCCAAATTATTTTTGGTACCTATATATTTAATTTGAAAAACCTTGTCGTATATCAAATTCCTTAGAAAATGATAACGAACATCGATATGTTTGTTCTATAATTTTCTACCGGTGACTTTGAAAAACTTATAGCAGCTTGATTATCACAAAACATTACATTTTCACTTAATTCCAAATTTAAACTTTTATTATCAATTACATTCTTTAGCCAAATGAATTCCTTAGCTGCTTCTGTTAAACTAATATACTCAGCTTCCATGGTCGACAGACTAACGGATTTTTGCTTGAAAGTTCGACATGAAATTGGAGTTTCGTCTATAAAAGTTATGAACCCTCCCATTGACACTCGATCATCCCTATTTGTAGCAAAATCTGAGTCTGAATAAAATCTTAGTTTTAATGATTTAACTTTTGAAAGTTCTAATTTATATTCTTTAGTGTATTTTAAATAACCTAATAATCTCAATAAGCAATTCCAATGTTTTATTCCCGGGTTTGCTTGGAATTGAGATAATACATTTACTGCATACATAATATCGGGTCTTGTATCTAACAATTTTATTATTTTTCATCATATTTAATGGTATAAACCCAAAGGTTTTCTAAAATTTTTATATTATCCGGATGATCAACTAAATCCCAAACTTTACGTTCCATCATTACGTTAATTTCTTTATCCATTGCATCATGCCATTTAGATGCGTCTCTGGATCTTATCGCCTGTTTGTAACAGTTAGGAATAGTTACTTCAACCATAAGAGCTTCTTGTTGCTCTGACAAGTCTGAAAATCCCTGGGATTCGGTATTATCTTTTCTAAAATTAAATAAACTAGGATCATACTCAATATTATGCCTCTTACAGTATCTCTCTATTTCGTTAAAAGATTTTAATCGGGTTGCTTCCCCTTCTATACTATAATATACGTTAGATCCAGTTACTTTCCTACCTATATTTCGAATCCACTTAACCTCCGTACATGGGATCAAGCTATGATTATCGGAAGATACATCTGGTTTTTCAGATGTTGAGGGCATTTCTGTACTTGTCTTTGAAACTAAACGACTCGTTAATGAATCTTTTACTCTATCAGAATCATCCTCATCATCATAATAATCAGGAAGGTTTAAATTATATCCAAGGTTACTATTAACTTTTTGTCTAAAATTAATTCCCCTCTTATTTTCATCGAATCTTACATTAATAGTCTCGACTAATTTATTTTCATCTATTAACCATATTCTATAACCCTTAGTACGTTGTGCGTATCCCATCATAATTCCCATTTTCGCACGCATATCGAATTTTTTTCTAATTTGTTTTGGCACACCAGCATATGCTAAACATCCAAAAGGTATTAGATGCAATACCGATGGTTTTCTACCTGAATATTTTTCGAAAGGCGTTTTGTTACCGTCTTTGTGACAAATTCGATTCCACGCATAAGTGAAACAAAGTAATGCTTCTCCCCAAAACTTATGGGGAACTTCACTAGACTTAAGCAATGTTTTGATGCCATCTAGAGCGGTTAAATTGAATCTCTCCGCGACCCCATTCATTTCTGGCGTATATGAATTTGTTACCTCATGCTTTATACCCAGTTCTGTCAAGAAATTATCCATATCATTATTACAAAATTCTAGTCCGCCATCAGTTCTAACTGCTATTACCTTTTACTTAGAAAACGTTCTGCTCGTTTCTGAAATCTTATAAATGTATGAAATACGTCAGATTTATTTCGGATGGGAAATACAGTCACCTTTCTTGAATAATCGTCAATTATACTCAAGAAATATTTATTACCGCCTTGGCTTTCAGTTGGCATTGGACCACAGAGGTCCATATGCAACAATTCCAATGGACGTTTTGATCTTACGGCCCCCATCTTTTTGAATGAAACTCTCTTGGACTTTGCTAATTTACACGGTATACAACGAGTCTTTACCATTATCAGTTAAGCGTGGGAGACCTTTTACACTATCAATTTTACTAGTTTTTTACCAAGTAATCGTTATTAATATGACAAAAGCGTTGATGCCATATTTCTATTGATCCGTTTTTTGTTTTAGCGGTTACATTACTAAAAAAACTAATTTCTTTACTCTTTGGTATAATATAATGATCCGGCTTAAAAAAATACAAATTTTCATGGCGTGTCGCCGAGAACAATTTTATCCAGTCTTTATTAAAAACATTAATTTTACCTTTAGTACCCATAAAATGCGCACCTTTACTTTCTAATCTGGAACCGGATAATAAATTTCTCCTCAACTTAGGATTAAATAATACATCAGTCAAAGTTATTTCATGAAAACTCCCCTTATATTTTACCCGAAATCTAAGTGTACCGATTCCTTCTACGGGACAACTTTTATCCTCCGTTGCTAACGACATTTTTATGTTAGTTATCGGTTTAAGATCTAAAAATAAACTCTTGTCATTACAAAAATGACTCGTGGCAGCAGTATCTATTACCCAAACACCTTTATCAAACTCTGTGTTAAAAGTTTCATTTACAGTTGAAGGAGATTTTTCTAGAGACTTTTTCTCTTTACAGTTTACTTTAAGATGCCCGTACTTATTACATACATAACATGGACCTATAGTCTTAATAGATTGTTTAACATTTTTAATAGTTTTACAGTTAAATACCTTACCACCTTTCTTTTGGTAATCATTCTTGCCATTTGGATCTCCATGAGCTGCAGCCGTAGCACCAGGTAACGTCTTCGACTTCTTCGAAGTGAAACTGCTCAAGTAAGCATTCTCCGCTTTCTCCAAATCTTGTTTCATCAACTGAAGACGATTGGCTTCTAATATCAGCTCTGCTTCAATTTTGACAACTCTGTAGTCCTCTTCTTTCCATCTGTAGATTTGTTGCACGGTAGACTGGAATTCCTGAGGAAGCCACCTTATTAATTGAAATCCTATGTACAGGTCGTCCAATTTATGACCCGCTTCTTGTAGTCTGGTTGCCGCTGTCTTTACACGAGATATGAAGATTCCAACATCTTCCCCTGGTTGGTATTTTGTTCCAAAAAATTGATCTAATAGTTGAATTACTCTTGCTTTTGTGACTGGTTCGAAGTGATCTTTTAATATCTTCCATGCCGCTACTCCGTCAGTTGTTTCCGTTATCAGATTTTTCAAATCTGAACTTATGTTAGTATAGATCAACGTATAACATCTATCCTTACGAAGTTGTAGATCTAATTTTTCCTTATATGTTGCCTCTTCTTCAGTTTGCGCTGGCTTGGTCTGTATTATAAACTGCCAGCAACCATAATGCATTAAGAGTACTTGCATATCATGCTTCCACGTGTTCCAGTTATTTGGAGTCAACACTGATATCTGGTTGTTAAACTCCATATCTGTTACTCGATTTAGCGTACTAGCAACAGAGTTCATAAAAAATAGTTCTAGACTGGAACATTATTTATAAATAGACAAAGTTCATGGCCTGGTTCAACTGCTTAGCCTGCCTCGACACAGTACATGGACTGGGCCCATAATCAAATTTGTTACACTTATTGGTAAACTAATTTAAATTTTGCAACGCTAGCAGTGAAATTTGTGTCGAGGAGGCATGAAGACGAAAAACAGTTTCTTAAAATTGGCC